CTCTCGCTCTCTCTCTCTATCTCTGTCTCTCTCTCCCTCTCTCTCTCTCTCCCTCCCTCTTTCTCTCTCTCTCTCTGGCTCTCTTTCTCTCGCCATCTCCACCGACCTGAAAAATCATGCCATGCTGGGTTTGCGTAGAGCCCCGCATCCGTCAGAGTGCCCACACATGTACGCGATCTGTAGTCGGGATTCGCGCAGTGGCTATTACATTGGGTTCAGTCGCCGCGAACGAGCAGTGTCGTGTGATCTAACAGGGATCTGTCTCCGTGAGTCCGATGTGTGATCGGGGTGACGTTCGGGGCCATTTGATCGTGACGTTTGATTGGGCCGTGTGATGAAGGCGGAGACCGCCTCTCTGTCGCTCTCTCTCTCTCTCGCTATCTATTTATCTCTCTTTCTTTCTTCTTCGCATACGTTTTGCGGTCGTGTTCCTCTCTCGTCTTCGTCTTCGTCGTTGGTTCATATTTCTTTTGGCGTCGTTGGTTGATCTTTTTTTTGTTGGTTCTGTCTTGTTCGTTTGTCTGCGCTTGTCAGTTTCGTTCGCATACTTTGTGTGAACGACACAGACAAGCGCAATAAAACGAATGAGATAAAAGACAAGGCAATTGCATATGTTCTGCCGTCGTGTTCCACTACCATCATCGTCCCCGTCATTAGTTTTCTATCAGTGCCTCTATGCCGTTCGTCTTTTGCGTTGGCCTGCTTTCGCGAATCTAGTTCCATTGGCGACCACTCGCCCCCATCAGATGGCATACTCACACGTCCAGGTCCTGAACAAGCGTGGGCACGCTGATGGATGCGGGGCTCTATGTGGCAACAAAATGTTGTCAAATAGAGCCCCACACCCATCAGCGTGGCTACGCATGATCATGACTTGACACGTGGACGTGTGTGCTGTTGTGTCCAACTACCATCTTCGTCCCTGTCGTTAGTTTTTTTTCAGTGCCTCTATTTCGTTCGTCTTATGCGTTGGCCTGTTTCGTTCGCGAACTTACCTCAGGGTGCGTTCGCGGATCTCGTTCCATTGGCAACCACTCGCCCCGATCTGATGGCACACTCAAACGTCCACGTGTCAGTTCCTGAACAAGCGTGTGCACGCTGATGGATGCGAGGCTCTATGCGGCAACAGAATGTTGTTGAATAGAGCCCTGCACGCATCAGCGTGGCCACGCATGTTCAGGACTTGACATGTGGACGTGTGAGTGTGCCATCTGATCGGGGCGAGATGAAGGAGTTTCGGGAGCAAGAATGCATGCGTTTCATTGGCGATCACTCGCCCTGATCAGATGGCACACTCAGACGTCCACGTGTCATGTCCTGAACAAGCGTGGCCACGCTAATGGATGCGGGGCTCTATGCGACAACGGGATGTTGTCGAATAGAGCCCCGCATCCATCAGCGTGGCCACGCATGTTCAGGAGCTGACACGTGGACGTGTGAGTGTGCCATATGATCGGGGCGAGTGGTCACCAACGAAACAGGACCCGCGAATGTAGCCCGAGAATGTTGTGACACACGCTTCGAGATTGTGTCGTCACTTCAAATGTTCTCTTGAATTGTTACTCACGATGGATGCGGGGCTCTATGCGACAACGGGATGTTGTCGAATAGAGCCCCACATCCATCAGCGTGGCCACGCATGTTCAAGAGCTGACACGTGGACGTGTGAGTGTGCCATCTGATCGGGGCGAGTGGTCACCAACGAAAGAGGACCCGCCTGTGGATGTTCTCTTGAATTGTTACTCGCGTGTCGTCAATTTGTTGTCTCTTTCACGAACTGCGATATAAGGTTTTTAGCCGTATGTTGTCAAATACGAAAACATGGATTCTCACGAATCGTCTCACTTCTGGATTGTACATGGACTTTCTTCTCGCCGAATTATTTTTTATTGCGCTCGGTTTGTTTAATCATTTTTTCGCGTAAGTCGCGTCGTGCAGTTCGCTCGGCGTTCGGTTTTGTATCCGTAAATTGTCCTCTACATTCGTCAAATTTTTCACATTTTTCGTCACTCCTCCTCTCGCCGACACGCACAATTTTTTCTTATATTTCTTGTGTGCGGTTTTCAAATGGGTCACATTGCGAATTCCGAAAAAGACAACACCATCCGCAGGATCTGCACATGGAGAGACAGAGAGATAAAGATAGACTCTCTCGCTGCGCCTCCTCTCCTTGTCGACGTCTCTATCGATCTTAGTCTCCCTTCCGTGTCTATGCGGGTTTTCTGCCTTTCTCCAATCTTTGTGTATCGCAGACAGTCGCTCTACCGATCTTAGGTTGGTCTCCCCTGAGTGCAATCACAGATCAGTAATCCGAAGACTGCCACGACAGATTAGAAGACACAGACAGTCGCCTAATCGATTCGAGGTTGTTCCCCCTTGAGCGCAATCACAGATCAACAATCCGAACACTGCTAGGACAATGTCCTAGCAGTCTTCGGATTACTGATCTGTGATCGCACTCAAGGGCGAACGTGAATTCAAATCTTTAAACCCTATCCAACCTCGCGTCAGCCAATCGCCGCGAGGAACCCTTCCGCTGACGTGGACACAGGACAGGACACAGAGCGATCAGATGCTCATAGGGTATTGTCGACAGCGACATATCTGACCAACCAGGAGAACGACAGCCCACCCTGTCCATACCGTCCTCTGGTGGCGCAACAACTAACGTATCCGAGCCACCCTTGTTAATTTCGGTTGCGTCCGAGCCACAACCCACTAAAACTCACGGGGCGACCACAAACCGAGGCACCTCGGCGAAGTTCGGATTTATCCGAACCGCACCGACGGCAAGTTTGGATTTGTCATATGCTCAGACGGTATTTACGACGTCGCACGTTCTGATAAACGTGAACGACAAAATCACACGTTGTCAACAGACCGTGCCGTCTATCCACCGGTTCCCATCACGGATTAATCCGAACCACACCTCCGACAACATAGGGTCCAACCTATGCTCACAGATCATTGATGAAAACACGCCATGCCGATGGCCTCCTCTTGTGGTCGGCCGTTTCTATATCGCATTGTGCTAATTCGGATGCATCCGAGTCACAACGTCGGTCTTTCGACTGTGCCCAGTTTGGATGTATCCGAACTACCCCGCTGTCTTCGTCTTTGACCATTCGCTCTACGAAGGCCAGTCTGATGACGAGGGTTGACGATACCTCGGATTCATCCAACTAAAACGAGTCGAGAAGGTGACGCTCAGGTGGAAGAAAGACGAGCTCGAAACTTGTGCTGCGACTACAGCAAACGTGTCTGTTGTTTGGATTGGGCGAGCCACAACCAACTAAAACTCACGAGGACGACGACATCCCCTGTAATGATGCACAGATTATAACGACACACTACGACAATCGCGGGGAGGTCCGGTGTGTGGTGGGGCAACAACATACCGAAGCGCCTCGGCGAAGTCGGATTAATCCGAACCACACCGATGGCTTGTTCAGATTTACCACATGCGCAGAGGGTATTGATGACGTCGCACGGTCTGATAAACTTATACGACGAAAGCACACGGTGTCGGCCCAGCCTCTCGTGGTCGCACGTATCGGGACAGCCCTTGTCGAAATCGGATAAATCCGAGCCACACCCGTCTTAAACACTCAAGGACAAAGACACACCGTGCTAAGTTCGGGTGGACCCAAGGACAGCTGGGGAATAACGGAAGCTTGGATGGCTGGATGGGCGTCAACAGATCATGGGGTCCATCCGCCGGTCCCCGTCTCGGATTAATCCGAGCCACAATGGCGAAGTTCAGGTTCAATCGAACCAAACCTCCGGCAGAATAGGGTTAACCCAGTGCTCACAGGTCGTTGACGAAAACACGTTTTGTAGATGGCGTCCTCTTGGGGACGACCGTCTCCGGACCGCACTGTTCGAATTCGGATGCATCCGAGTCACAACCGTTACCGACTCAAAAGGACGAGAAAACTTGAGTTCGGATTGGTCCGGGCCACACGGGCGTGGTCCACACCATTTGGAGCTCGGATGCATCTGAACTACACCGGCGAACTTTACAATCCGCTTGTCGACTTTGGATGATACCGTATCACCATGGGGTGCACGTCTTCGTCTGCTGTATTAGCGTTCTAGGGCCTTCTAGCGAGGTCTTGCTTTTCCCGATGCAGGTGCCTATGCGACGTCGGTCTTTCGATTGCGCCTACTTCGGATGTATCCGATCTATCCCGTGGTCTTCGTTTTCGACCATTCGTTCTCTTAAGGGCAGTGTGACGAGGATGGCTCACGATGCCACGGATTCATCCGAAACGTGCAGCCGTGTGGACCACTGTCATGTAACTATGACTGAACTTCGTTCTTTTGGGGTCCGGGTGATCGATAACAGAATACGTGTTGTGGGTCGAGGTTGATGTTAGGACGTGCTGAGTGTTCATGGTGCTTGTGAGTTCATTTCCTTCGCGTGTTTCAGGGAATGGCTACACACGGACGAAGCTGCTCCACTGGTGGTTCTGCCCCGCATGGAGAGGAGCGTCGAGGGACGACGTCGTCACCGGCGAGGGAAAGGAGTCGGGGAGGTGGCGGTGGGGAGGAAGAACGACGGGCTCAAAACTTGTGGTGCGACTACAGCAAGCGTGTCTGGTATTTGGACTGGGCGAGCCAGGACGGCTCCGACCCGTTGAAACCACCGTGCGGGCCGCTCTTGTTCGTCGCTGTTCGCGTCGATAGGACGCGTCTCGCAGGTTCCATCGTCGAGTGGGTCGACAAAGGCGAATATAATTTCAAGTTTACATTGCGGAAGCATTACAGAAGTGATGGTTCCGTCGACGACATCGCAAAAGAATGCAAGGTTGTCGGGAGGATGTTCGGCGGGTACGGCCAGCGTGAGATGTCCTTGCCGTCCTTTGTCCCGCTACGGCCGGGGCACGACGAGGCCGTTCACGTGACAAACTTCCTCGAGGTTTGGGCGAGATCAGGTACCTCTGTCAGTGCCATGGACGTTGGACCTGGGACATCGATCAGTGGTCCGGTTGGGTTCGCGGGAGGAGAGTGCTCTGAAAGGAGGATGGGAGGTCAGGGTGGCCTGCCAGCTACGCCTCCTGATAAAGAGGTGGGCATGTTAGACGACTCGGAGGACGACCATCCGCGTGCTCCTTTGAAACCAGCTTTGCAGGGATCTCGCCGCCAAGGTTTGCTTGGGGAGTCGACGCCACGTGGAGGCGGCGATGGCGAACGGTTGCAACAGGGCTCAGAATCGATGACTCCTCGTCGTCTGGTCGAAAGGATCAGTGCGTTCGTTCATGGCATGCAGGTGGCCTAGGTTTCGCCTATCGATCGCGCGGGTGGTTTGCAGGTTCGAGAAGTGCGTGGGTCAGATGAGACGACTCGCCTGGCCCGACCTGCGCCTGCGCAGCTGCAGATGGAGTTAAGCTAGGAAAGAGAAGCAAGTGGGAACGTCGCCGGTGAGGAGGAGGTGTCCGAGCAAGGGCTGTTCCGTGAGAGATCGGCTGGAAAGACTTAGTCGGGAGGCAAGCGCAACTTGCCAGATGAGGAAGAGCTAAAGGGAGTAGGTGCTCTGAAAAGGTAGAGAAAGGAAGGAGGGAGTGCTCGGACGCCAACAACGCGAGAGGGCGGTTCCGTTGAGAAGAGGAAAATGGTTGGAGGTGGGGATGAAACGCCAAAAGACTCGTCAACATGGCGAAGAACCGGTGAGTCTTTCGAGAAACGGTCAAAATCATCGAGGGGAAAGAAAGCAGATGAGGGCGACAGCGGGGAGGGGGATGACGACGTGGGGATTAACCTCAACGCCTTTAACCTCGATAGTGCGTTCTTCCTCGAGATGAAGACAGGGGTGCAGAGGGACGTCGTGTTGCACATCCATCCCGAGAGAATATTGGCTATTCCAGACTGGGAAGACGCATACAACCACCAATCCTTGGACGAGTTCCTTGTTGATACCATCGCGTCGGCTATGATCGACTGCTACAAACGTAAAGATATGAGATACACGAAGCCCATTTTTGTTCTCACTCCGATCGTCGCGCCTCCTGAGAGGGGCGAGCCAGCTGTGCACGTGCTGCCTGGGAACTTCGACAGCTCACAGCCAGAGAAATATTGGTATTATCCTTTGTGTGGACAGCATAACGCGAGGGCGGCGATGAAGGTGAAAGACCATCCCGTGTTTGAGTACGACAACTTCTATAAATGGCCATTCAGACCGATCTACTTCCCTGACGTCGAGTTCGACGGCTACGCCAATGTCAGCTGGGAAGACAACATGAAAGACAAGAAGAATCCACCACGCTTGCAGGTTTTGTCTATGAGGGACATTCGCAATATCTGAAAAATTAAGGGCAAACCGTGTGTGGTGCTCGGCAATGCGTCGAAGAAAAAGGACGAGGTGCGAAAGTGGGTGCAGTTCATGGTGTTGGCTATGAAGAAGACACCGTACACGCCTTTGTGGAACCTGTCAACGGAAGAAAAGAAAAGAAAGGAATGGGCTGAGAAACTTCGATACTACCTCCCGCTGGCCATAGCAGATGACTCTGTCTTAGCTTTGGGGGAGAAGTTCTATGAGGAGTGGTCGAAAGGGAAACTCCTTGCTTCCGACGGTCGGTGTCTGACTGAAAAGCCGCCCACCCATGAGGAGGTGGCCAAGCCAGGACTCTCCACTGTGACTGACAGCCAGGGGCTGAAGAAGCACGTCTGGTACGTGAATGTGGACGACCCATCATTGAAAAAGGGCAAGGGGAAGCCAAAGAAAGGCGCGAAGGAGAAAACTTACTACGTCCAAGTTCCTGAGCCGGATGTCCACTGCTGGAAGGAATTGGTGGACTTGACGGACCGCGAGAAGAAAAGGTTGTTAAACGGCGTCTTGAACCTTAACGTCGTGTGGGTTCAAAGGAGTAGCAAGAAGTTGGCCGAGCAGGGGAAGTTCAGTGTCAAGGAGATGGTCGACATAATAAAAATGGACCGGATTATGCTGAGGCTGTGGCACTACGTGGAGTTCGAGTACGAGAAAATGGATAAGCGGGAGTGGAATGCCAACTCCACGTTCTTCAGGTCCAAGAAGCAACTATTGGAAGAGTTCAAGGACAAAGGTCTCGACGACAAGCTTTGGAACGAGAGCAAGAATTTTTTCACGGACACCCCGTACGTCAACAAGTGCCCTCAGTTTCTGGGGTGTCAACACGATAACAACATCAAGAGAACGGCGGCCCTCGTTAACGACCAGCACTTCCCGGCGGAGTGGAAGCGTGTCGTCCTTTCGGTGATCACTGGAGATCGCGCCAAACGCAAAAAAAAACCTCGGGGCGTTGATGAATGCATCAACATTATGTGGATGAGGACAATCGCCCTGACGACGCTGGCCCAGTTTAACGTCGACCCATTGAGTGTCATAGATCATAAGGAGGCGCTGGGAAAACTAGCGCATCAGCTACGCTCCCACACTTGCGTGCTCGACTTGTGCGGAACTGTGGACCGTGCGCAATGGGACTCTGGGGCATTCGCGTCTCTGAGTGAGTTGTTGGGCTTCGTTTGTCAGGACTACTGGACATTGGTGGTATTCGTTCCCTGCCTGTGGAACATCTCCTTCATGACATCTTTGTCTGCGCTTGGGGCTACCCAATGCTACATGGGGAAGTGGGTTTGGAAGACGGCATCAAAGAGGACGCATCAGTTCGGAAACAGCGTCTGGGAGGAGCCGGATGTGATGCATATCCTTTTCAAAGGCGAGGATCCTCGGCTACTGACTCACCCGGTGTACGAGGGAGCTGTTGCCGAAGACGACGACGACGCTCTCCAGAGGAAACAGAAAGTGACACCCACGGATGTGGAGGAGAAGTCTTTCAAGTCCTTGACTTTCGCGGACATCGGAAACCTCACCCAGAGGGGGGCTCTGTACAAGTTCGGCGAGCGTAATCCGAATCAGTTATGCAATCAGCTTCTTTTCTTCTGTGGTGTGGCGGATGCCGTGCTGTTCTTGGGCAAGTCGCACGCGCAGGTGGTGTGGAGTCTGCTTCAACAAGGAAGGCACGTCTTGGCCGTGGATGGGGACACAAGGCAACTCGAATACACCGTGCATTATGTCACCCATGAAGTGTCGTCCAAGGCTTACCCATGCGATTTCCACCATGTCGTGGTCGAGCCCGTTTACGACCCCAACAAGGACATGTTCTTCAAGTTGACTCCGAAGAAAAGGCGCCAGGTCTACTCCTTCCTTTACGGCGAACAACCAAGGCTGAGATTTGACCCGCAGTAAGTGGTGTGGAAGGAAGTCGCCATTGCGGTCCTCCAGGGCTACCACGGAGCGAGTCGGGCTGGCGATGTGAGCTTCATTAAGAGACTGGAATACGTATTTTTTAACGAGAATGTGGTCGATCCGGCCGACTTCACTTTGGATAACTACAGGCTGGCATTCGGTGAGGACGACGACTTCAATATCGAGACTGAGCAGGAGGAGAGCGTTGAGGACGACCTCTTCAATTTGGACGGGCAATTGACTATCTTCAACGCCCAAGTTTCTGAGTCGCCGTTAGTATGCAGACCGGGGACACCTCTCGGTACACCCACCTCGGGCGGTCCCACGCCCGTGTCCTCCTCAGCGCCTGTCAACAGGGGTGGGTTGTCCCGTCTGAGGAGTCCGCCGGGGGAGCCTATTCGTCTCACACCACAGCCCGAACGTCTTCGACCTGGCCATCCAGTTCCTCCGGACCATCCGCATCTCAAAGCTCCTGCAGTTCCCTACCACATGGGCGACAAACACACCTTCTCCACAGCCGAAGATTGGGGCCATGATATCGTGTGGCACCCHGACCATTTCCAGCCAGTCCTTCTCGAYGGCSACYRGGCAGTGGCTGTGAGGGACGTAAGTGGAAGGTGGATATATGACGATCGTTGGGACCTCGAKACATTCAAATCTCGCGCCTACGATGCGGTATTGGAGAGATTAGGTAAGGTCAATCGACGAAGTAAGGACGACCCTGATCTACGCGCATATGGGGAAACGCTATTCGAGTTGTTGCAGTCAAATAATTGGCTGGAAGTATCCTCCGCGTTCTACGCCCTTCCGTCAAGCCCGTCAATTAAGCAAGTGAGTTGGGACTTGCCTGCGGTCACCCCGCCGGCAGGAGTTGTGAAGCGCAAGTCTCGCGGAAAGGACGACGAAGGAGATGGTGAAGGCGGCGGGCAACGAGTTACCGGAGGCGGAAGTGAACAGAAGTCGACGAAACAGCGGTCTCCGGGGCACGCGGGCGGCGGAGAGGGGAAAAAGGGCAGCCGAGAGAAGAAAAAACCTCGCAGCGGAGAGAAGACAAAGCATCACACAGGAGACGGGCAGGGGTCCGATGTCGACCGCGACGAGGACGGTGGGGTTCTGGCGGTAACAGGCAGCACCTCAATGGAGATGGGGAACGACTCCAGGCCTGGGTGGGTTACGCGGCCTTTCGAGCAGGACCCTTTGATTAGCTCCACCAGCGCAACACAGTTTACCGATGCGGTTGGCGGGGCAGTTGTTCCAAAGAATGGAACATAATTCGCTCAGCTCCAAAAACGGTTGGCGGATTGTCTCGGATCAATCCGTATCTCAGAGGCAACATCGTCGCCCGGAACTCAGTACCTTCTGGAAAGCGAGACGACAACATACCACGGATCTGGCAGCGACAAGCTCGACCCATGTTCGGTTTCGCCTCAAAAGGAAATTCGGATTAATCCGAACCAGGAAGCCAGTACCGTCGAGAGAGCACAGCGGTCTACGGAACTCGAACGGGTGGTCCGGGTTTCCGAAAACCCTGGCGGCGAAATTCGGATTCATCCGAACCAGGAGGACATGTCTGCCATGACAGACGATCGATGTCAGGACGCCGTAATGCTGTGCATGGAAACCCACAAGGAACTGCAGGCAGGTTGTCCGACAGAGGGTGAGTTAGTGACCAGTTTCAATGTCGAGCCCCACACAATCGGAGCCGAATGCCTAGTGACGGTACGCGCTGAGTTAGCAGTCTCAAGCGACTCTCCGGTGAAAGCGGACACGTCGTCGACCTTGGAAACTGCGGGGGCTCGGATGAATCTGAACCAGGGCCCTGTGAGCATGTTCCTCCCTGATGCAGCTTTGGAGACGACTATAATTCGGATTCATCCGAGACACACGAACGAAGGACTTCAACTGGCAGGCATTGAGGGTTGTCGACTTCTGACGACTTTGAACAAGGACGATTCCGCCGACGACCGGATTGATCCGACACTCAGCGACGTCGGGTTGGAGCAACCAGTTCAGCCGGGAAACGACGACCCCTTGTACTCCGGCCTTCACGACGAGGTGATGGGAGAGGATGTTCTGAAAAAGTTCTCTGACGCTGTTGGAGATAGATTTCTCTATTTGAGTGACGACGATAAAGACACAGCGCACGCGGACAAGAAGTTAAGGGGGGGAGAGGTGTTGTTGGACATCCATGGGACCTTGAGCACAACACAATATGACACAAAGGCGATGGAGAAAACCCGTTCTGTCGACATTGTGGACGTCGACGCTCTTTGTCCGGAGACGGAGAGACTAAAATTACCCGTCGCGGACGTGGAGGATTTCCGCCATCGGGATGGGGATGAATTTATGCCGTCTCCGGTCATCGACGCCGACATCTCGAACCTATCAAGTTTCCCTGTGGGTTTGGAGCACGTCGTCGCCGCGTCGACGCGCACGGGGGCGCCAATCGTGTTGGGACTGCCGTCAATGGGCTCTGCTGACGTGGAAGCTAAGCCTGGTAAGCACTGACTTCCTCTGCTTGCTTCCCGCTCGTCAGCCCGTTCGTGAAGTGTTGTTTGCTTCGTCGATTTCGGGGAGGTGTGTAGGCGGCCGCCAACTGAATTGTGACGATGTGCTTCGTGAGGTGCTGTTTGCTTAGTTGCTCTTGCGAAGTTGTGTTGTTGATCTCCTGCTGAACTGTCTGGGTGGCTATTTCTTGTACAAGTTGACGAGCTCGTGGACAAACACACATGTCGCAGGAGCCGCCTTCCCTCGCCAGGTTGTCAGTCCTGGTTGCGGGAGGCACTGGTCGTCGCAATGTCACTGATTCGTTTCCTGGGGACACTAAACGTCGGGGCCCTCCCAGAAGGGTTGTCGTGCCTGTATTGGTCCCTCGCGCTAGACTCGTTGCAGAGGCAGTGGGTGTTACCAAAAAAGACTGCAAGGAATTCCTTCTCGAGGCTTGCAGGGATATAAAGAAGGACAATGCTAGTTTAGAATCAACTATGTGTGGAAGGTCCAGAAATAGGGGTGACGTTATGAGTGAACTTTTCGGGCCACAGAGTAGCAGTTCGTCAGACCATGGCCGCTAGGACGACATTTTCTCATAGTGCCCCATCCTTTGTGCTTGCTGTGTGCTGCGGGTGTTTGTTGAACAGGGTTTCCTCGAGATGGAAGAGCAGTCCTTGAAGACGTTATCTGCTCCCGGTTGCTGCTCACAATCACCGTTGCGCGTTTGCCATCGCACAATTTACAGGTGTCTGTCAAGGACATCGTCGCACTCGTGGATGGATCCGGGGAGCTCAACGATGAGGTCGTCAATTTCTACATGGCGATGCTGCTTGACGACTGCGGTCGGACTGCTGCTACCAAGAAGACGTACACCTTTAACTCTTTCTTCGCCTCTACACTGCTTCTGCGAGGTCTGGCAGCTATTAGCAGATGGGCTAAAGATGTGGACCTCCAGTCTCATGACCTCGTCTTGGCACAAGTGCACAAGGACGGCGGACACTGGAGCCTTTTGGCCATTGACTTCTCTAGACGTGTTTTGGAAATCTATGATTCTTTCTCGTGTTCTTCATCCAAAGATGACTTCTACTCCACACTTTTAGATAAATCTGTTAAATTTTTGAACACGGTGGCAGGTGTCGCTGGTGATAGTCGCACTTTCGACCACTTCGCTCGTGAGGTCAGCGTTAAAGGTGTCCCTCGGCAGCACGACGGGGCTAGTTGTGGGGTGTTCATGTTGATGTTCGCTTCCTGTTTGGCAAAAGGTTTACGTCCACCTTTTGGTTTCTCCCATAGACACATCTCCTCTATCAGAGTTAGACTAGCTTTGGCGATTTGCGATGTTGGTAGGTAAGCGTCTATCTTTTTGCTGATCATGTAGTGTAGCAGGGTTGACTTAGAAGAACATTCCGTTCTTCTCCGGACGAAATTTGTTCCTTTTCATTTTTTCCGTGAGAGATTGGTGGGTGTTCTCGGTTTGGTTCAAAGCAGAACAGGCTGTCACTGCCAGGATATCTCCGGGTGAAATTGTCATGTCCCCGGCGTGTTTATCGTCGACAATATTGTTCTTTCTCATTGGCTTTCAATTCTCACGAACGTCCCCGTTGTTGGGGCGCCTGTTTCATGATTAACTTTCTCGCTTTCATCATTTTGTGTCTTTTTGGTGTGATGTTCTGCCCGCATACTCGGATGCATCCGAACTCCAACTGCCTTTATGCTTTTCTGCCTCTCTCTCGAACCTTCCCCATCGTCTACACTCATCTATGCATTTTCACTTTGAATGTTGTGAGGCATCAAATACAACACAAGGGCCTCTTTATACATTTGATCGCCCTTTTGGCCCGAAATTTGTTCCTTTTCATTTTTGCCGTGAGAGACTGGTGGGTGTTCTCGGTTTGGTTCAGAGCAGAACTAGTTGTCACTGCCAGGATATCTCCGGGTGAAATTGTCATGTCCCCGGCGTGTTTGTCGTCGACAATATTGTTCTTTCTCATTGGCTTTCAATTCTCACGAACGTCCCCGTTGTTGGGGCACCTGTTTCGTGATTGACTTTCTCGCTTTCATCATTTTGTGTCTTGTGTGGTGTGATGTTCTGCACGCATACTTGGATGTATCCAAACTCCGACTACCTCTATGCTTTTCTACCTCTCTCTCGAACCTTCCCCGTCGTCTACACTCATCTATGCATTTCCACTTTGAATGTTTTGAGGCATCACAGAGAAAAAAATACAACACAAGGGCCTCTTTATACATTTGATGGCCCATCTGGCCCTCCGCGCTGGGTGTTTTTTGATGGCCCGAAAATACAACACAAGGGTCTCTTTATACATTTGATGGTCCGTCTGACCCGCCACGCTGGGTGCTTTCTGATGGTCCGTTTGGCCCTCCGTGCCGATTGGTGCTACAAAGTGACAAACTGTTGAGCTGGCACTCAAGAAGAAATGAACATTGTATGATTGGTCCTCAATTT